TGTTTTTTCAGACCAAAAAATTTCGGCTAAAATTTTTTTTTTCACTATAACATGTCATTACTGCAGTATTTCATTCTCTATGTTTTTTTTTTGTTTTTTTTTTTGCTAAATTTTTGTTATTGTTCAACTTAAATTGGTGTGGCTGGAAAGTCAAACTGTCTTGCTTTACTTTCATTTTCAGTATCTGCGTGTCATCATCTCTCGGAAAAATTATTCAGACTCGTTTTCAGACTACTTTCTGGCATTATCATCACATAATTATGTTTGCAGCAAATTAGACATCAAGACTTAAAATAAAATTGTTCAGCATTCATTCAATGTTAATTAATGTTTTAAGGCTACTGGAGCAATTTTATTTCTCAAAAAATCAATTTTATTTCTCAAAAAATAACAAAATTGGATGAAGAATTGTCTGTTTTTGTTGTTCCAATCTTCAAAAAAAAGTGGCGGTGTGGTTTTTTATCCAGGAAAATTTCAACTACTTAGCTATCCATTTTTGAACAAATTTTTATAGCATCCGGAAGTTATTATAATCTAGAGCTCAAATTTAAAAAACAATTTACCTGTGATAACTTTTCCTAAAGTTATAAGGGTTTAAAGTTGCCAATATGGCCAATTTTTGTCATAAGCGCGCGATATATTTAGTGCTATTACTGCGTAAAGAGAGAGGCTTAATCTGTCTTAGAAATTGCTCCGAATTGGTTCAGCAGGGTATTTTCCATAGTTGCCAGATTACAAAGAACAAAATCAATTACTATAATCAGCTTAATATAGTTATCGATTTCGATACATACTATACTACACTAACAACATTCAGCTTAAAATTCATAGTTTGTCAATATATCCTTAACCAAAAACTATTTAAGGCCAGTTTTTGGACAGTCGGAACACTCAGGACGATGCCCTGATACGACATGTCTTGTTGTACATATGACCAGCATTTCAATTTTGCTGGTCAAAATTATTGTCTTCATTCTAAATTTTTTGCTGGAACCGCGTCAGCGAGATGAAATCAACTGTAGGGTTCGTTTTTTTTTAACTCAAGTTTTTGTTCTCGTTTAGCAAAGTGAGCCTGGAGTGATTGTATCACTGAATAAGTTCTGATCCATGCACCATATGGCCTGTGCGTCATGTAAACTAGGTCCACGGGATTGCTTTAAGCTCCTCTTTAGTTCCTTTCTACTCCTATTTACTTTTTTATAGATATAACAAAATATATAAAATATAAATTTGAAATTGACTAGATTAACAAAAAATACTAGCCACACAATTTTCATTGATTTTAATGTACGATAAATTCAAAATAATCACAAAAGTGTTTTTTAAAAAAATGTTTTTCCACTCCATTGTATTGTTTGATCTTTATGTATTCCATGAAACATCAAATCTTAAATATTTTGTTTGTTAGTTTTAGTTCTGGCGCTTTTTGTTCCAACTTTTGAGGAAAGTGATGGAGTATTCGTGCTCGGGGTGGTTTTTTTTTTCCATACAAACTTCGACTCTTTAGCTGGTCAATTTTGACGGAAATTTTTTAAATCAGCCAAAAACTATTATTGTCGTGAGCACAAATTAAAAAAAAAAATTTCACCTGTGATAATTTTTCAAACTTATGGGTCTTAAAGATTGCCGAAGTGGAATAATTAATGCGCAACTTTTTCGTGCTGTTAACTTGTAAGCGGAGATTAAATCCGTATTAGAAGCTGTTTCAAGTTGATTTGAGGCATGCTGTTTGATTTAATTATAACTTAGATCTAGGCAATATAAATTACTTTATAGAAACTGTCATCATTTTTATACAGAGAGAACACTACTCCTTAGACTTATAGGAGAAGTCGGAATATTCAGGTTTTTGCCCTGATACGAACAGTCTTGTTGTTTCGACTTTTGTACCGAAAAAACGGAATATTTGTGCTCGGTGTGGTTTTTTTCTTCAGACAAGTTGTGACTTTTTAACTAAGAAGTTTTGACTGAAATTTTTATGTCAGCCAAAAATACATTATTGACTCGAGCTAAATTTTAAAACTTTGCGACGCTAGGCATTTTTGGAAAGCCTTGGTAGGCATTTTTCAAAATTATTGACCTATGTAAAAGTTTCTACTGATCAGAACCGTTAAAAACTGGTTCCAGTTTCAAATATTGAAAATAAACAGAATGCGAATTAATATAATGAAACGGTAACCTCTCGACTAGCATAAAGCTCGACTAATTTAAAAGTTGTTAAATAACAAATCGTATCGGCTAGCAAAATTTAGATGGCTCTTTTTCTCAGAAATACAATACAACATTCCTTATTCATTCAATTAGAGTTTATTGAGAGTAGATTGAAAAAGAGAGTAGATTGAAAATTTCAGCACCCGTACCCAACAGAAGCTGTTTTTCAAGATAGAAATTTCATATAGATTATCTAGCCTAGTTTTCTCGTATTTTCCGTGCAGTAATGATCTATTTTTTTTCTAGTTTAGAAATAAACAGTTTCTGGAAAGAAATAACCAGAAATCAGTTCACTGCTAAACCGCAACGAGATAAACACGCTTCGAGTATACACAATAACAGTAGTAATACAATTTTAACTTACACATGTTGTAACAACTGTTATGCTGCTAAAACAATACTGCTAAAAAATCCATGCTTTATTTAAACATTTCAAGAAAATTAGATTAGATACAAAGTATTTCAGGTCAGAAATAAAGAATGGTAGCCAGCAAGCAAATGAAATTCCTTAACATTTAAACAGTCATTCAGGTCACCTTGTTGGTTGACTTGTAATGGCATGAGATGAACACTGATGTCGAACAAAATATGAATTGCCTGAAAAAGCTGTAATGTAAACGATTTATTTTGAGTATAATATTTTACATTTTAACAAAAATGAATTTTTTTTTTGGTTTTTAGGCTAGTCGATACTATTTTCAATTTGAAAACTTATTGCTGGCCGAGCTATATGCTAGTTGATACACCGCCAACGAAGCCTCTCTCCCAATGGCTGGAGAAGAATGCGATTTGCTTGTATCGGCGCACTGCAACGAAAACCACCAGGCGTTTTCACAATATTTGCCTATGGAATGACAACGATGCAACAATTACCACCACGAGTGCATTTTCTGCTAATTTTGCAATCAGTTATCATGGATTTGATTACCTTGGGTTCATCTGCTTTCCTGGAAAGTTTTGATATTCTGTAGGATTTCTGATTAATCAAAAATATAAAAATGTTTATCTAATTACATTTTTTTTTAATTTGCTTCTTCAATCATGAGAGATTCCTTCATCGACAGGCATTTAAAATATATCTGAAAAACTCTACCCATTTGATAAATTTTTCCGAGTAGATTTCGAAAACTTTCTTCTTTCGAAAACTCTGAAATGACGGCTGAAAGGGCTTTAGCATGATAAACACTAGGCCCCCTACAAACTTTTCTCGGGCAAATCCAAATCGGGAAGAAAAAAAACACCCTACGCCCTGCGATTGAAGCAAAAAATTGTGAACAATTGAACTCAAAGAAAGGCTTTATTAGTTAGTAAACAAGTAATTGGTTTTGTTTTTCAGTTGATAGAAACAATTGATTTGAGTACAAGTGATGTCAGATGCAGAGATGACCCAGAGAACAGTGAATTGGAGGTGGTGACTTGTGTGGATCCTGACTACTGCTACTTCACACAAGTGGAGGTCAACGGTGAGAGCAAAAAAAAAACAAAAGAGAGGTCAATCTGATCTAACAACAGTTTTCACTAAGAGTGAAAGTCTTAGGAAACCGTTTGATCCGCCTCATTTTTTACGAGCAAAGGTGAACAGCTTAGCAGCTTCTGCGCAACACCACTTTCCCCCTCGTTCAATTTTTAACTCATTTCAAAAAATGTCCTTAGTAGATACTGCCTGATTAGAAATTCTATCATAGTTTGATTCATTTTCAAACGATTTTCTCGAACTAAATTTTTTGTTTTAAAAAAGTGTTTTTTTTTATGTAGACGAGGTAGTGGCACTTGCACGTGGATGTTCCAATAACACTTCATTCACCCGTGGAACCCAATTTTCATTCATCCTCCCGGAACCTCTGGAGGATTTCGGCGCTGGCAACGGATGCAACCAGCTCATTGACACAACTGCCGGTGGATTTAGTCAGCCTTTCTACAGCTCTCTCGGAGTGTTGGTTGAAAGCATGCAAGTGTGTTATAACCTCTGCACGGAGGAGAAATGCAACGTCGTCAGTGGCTCAGAACTCTATTTTCTCAGACTCCAATTAATTTTAGTGTCTCAGTTTATTTTCGGAGTCACTTTTATTCTTATGCACATTTAATTTCTGGTTTTTAATTCCCAACTTCGACCTTTATAATAAACTCTTTTTTTTGAGTTTCTAATAAAATCTATTCCTACCAAAACAAACCTATTTTATAGAGGAGGTTTGAAAATACTCCAATTTACTTTCTGGTCGATTGAATCAATTTATTAAAAACATTCAAAAAAAAACTGGCTTGTTCGTAGAAGCATAAAAGAGCAAAACGTGGCCCGAGTACGGAGAAAAAAACATCGAAAACCTAAACTTGAAATTAAATTTTAAATGTACAATATTAAGCCCATTTTAAAAATGGTTAGTCAATCGAGTTTATCAACAAATTAAATTCAGAATTATCAGGAATTAAGTTCACAGTTCCTTCTTTTCAGTTCAAAAAAAATTGTTCACACAGTTGTGACGGATAGTAGCGGGTGTAAAGAGCCGTCTGACATTCTACCCCCGTGCGCCAGCAGTTCTTGGATGGTCCAAAAATTGTCCAGAATTTTCTCTTTCTTCTCTTTCAGTTCCTTCTTAGACATTGTCGAGAAGACCTTGTCGTTACCTGTGTTGCCATCGTTTCCGGAACCGCTACCATTGCTTCCCAGTTTCTTGGCGTTTTGGATGTCGCGGTATAATGCGCGACTTCGTTCCATCATATAACGACGTTGCTTATGCTCCTTAGCTACCAAAAACTGTCTTTTTCTTTCTTGCTTCGTCCAGAATTTCCCCATTTTCAATTCCGAAAGCGTCTCATCGTCAGTCGTAAGAATCAACGTTTCTTCTTTGATCTTTTGCGCTCGCTGCCGAATCTGCGACGCCGATCGTCTGTGTCGGCTGTGGGACGTCACAATTGAATCTCGGTTTTTAGGTGACCTTGAGTTTTCATCTTTTATGTCCGGCATCAACCCCATCGGAACACCGTAAACCGAGTCTTCATCCTTTAATTTAATTAACTTCAAGTAACTTCTGTACTGTTTACCGTGTTGTGCGATTGAACTTGCAATTGAGGGCGAATGGCTAAGTTTACTAAGCATTTTGGGACTATTGAGGTTCGAACTACAGTACCCAGAGCTGTCGAAGCGCTCGGTCGACACGAGCAAATTCTGTTTCGACTGCGATCTACGACAACTCTGCACCGGTACGTCTCCCAGTCCCATATTCCTCGTTTGTGGTTGCAATTTACCCGCACCCAATTTTTTGACCGGGCTTGAACCCTGCTGAGTTTCTTTACTGCCCACTTGGGTGCAAATATCTTCTTTTTGAGGTTTTGTAATTCTGGAAATTTCTGGATACTCATTTACTGCAGAGTTCAGCTTGTCAATATGAGATGAGTCTGTTTTATTTTGTGGTTTGGTTACTGCAGTTGAACTTTCGTTTTTGTTGGAGACTAGACCCTTCGTGGGACTAGGGTACCTTTCGGGTACTTCGGGAGGCGTGGGTGACGGGGCATTGGTTATGTTGTTGTTCTGGGGGTGCAGTATCTTGTGCAGGTGTTGTCCCGAGGGGGAGTTGGGCACTCTGGGGGAGGGGCAGGCGCTGCTGGCGTTGCGACTGTTGTTGTTGTCGGATGACTTGGCCTCCATGATAGGGAAGAGTGAACAGGAGACGGGACTCGAGGGGTCGTCCGTGAATAAAATCTCCTCATACATCTGAACAAACATCAATGATTTTTGTTTTTTAAATATTTGTTCCACGTTTCCGCAAAATGAAAAAGAGAAAAAAAGAAAAATTTTACAAAGAATCAAGGTTCTTCTACTCAAGTTGAAGTTTATTTAATTATTCATTACAGCAAAATTTTTCTCGTATCTCGTTTTGTTGTACTTTTGATGATGTCGCATGGTGTAATATAATAAAATAAATTCCTTTTCGTGTATTTATAAATCAGTAACAAGTATCAACCCAGTTAAGTAATCTCATGTGACCTCTAAAATATCATGTGACCTCTATAATATCATGTGACCTCTTTAATATCATGTGACCTCTATAATCTCATGTGACCTCTATAATATCATGTGACCTCTATAATCTCATGTGACCTCTATAATATCATGTGACCTCTATAGTATCATGTGACCTCTATGATATCATGAGACGTTTCCTTGCTGACCTGTTGTTTGGATCTGGCAACGGTGACTTTGATATCGGCTGTCTTCACTGAGTTGAAGAGGACCAATGCCTGCTCCTTAGTCTCAATCAAACTCTCGTTGATCTAGAAAAATTTTAAAAAAAACAATAATTTATATATCTGAATATCTAACAAAAGCTAGATGTTTATATTCATTCATATATTTCATATTTTTTAAAATTTAAGTTTTTCATGCATTAAAAAATGCAAAATTAATCTAAAATTGGTAGTTGTCGAAAAAATCCTGTAAAGGGGCGGATTTTTTTTTTCTAAAATACCATAGATGAGATAGTTATCACTTGTTTCATTTACCTGTAGAATCTGGTCTCCAATCTGGAGCGATCCAGTCCTGGCTGCCACTCCATTCGGTTCCAGCTGAAAACAGATCAAAAATCAGTTGAAACTAAATGTTAAGGTAAAATGCTGAACTACTCATTTCTATTTCTAAATATTCAAATTAATTTCCTCCGAAAAAGTCAGGAGTTACTGCTAAATAAGGTAACTATTCCTGTCTGGTGTATTCACACAAGACGTCGATGTCACTCTAAAAAATTGCAAAGGGCTTATTTTTTAAATTAGACAAGTCAGCGATAAATTGCTGGTCATCTGGGCCAAAAAAAATTTTTATCGAAAAGAGTTAAGCACCGTTTTATAATATAAAAAAAGTTTCTTGCTTTTTTTCACGATGCGTTGATCTAAACATTCCAGTGTTGCAATGTAGAAAAAGCAGACATTTGTCTTGAAACATAGCAAATTATATTAAAAATCTTGTTGCCAACCTTGTCATTTATAAACTTCTTGAATATTTCAGAAGAAAGTTGAATCTTCGTTCACACCTGAGTGCAAATTAATCATACCATCAAGCTTAACCCATTTTGATTTTCGTTCACACTCAGTCATTAATGTCAAACTGTCAATCAAAATGAAAAATACTCACTGCGGAAATGAACACGCCAAAAATGTCGTCGTTTCCATGGCACAAAGTCATTCCCAATTTGTTGCCTGTCTTGGGAATGATCACATCCTGAAAAAAAAACTGACAATAAAAAGGAAACCAGAGTCTTGATAATTAGGGAAAAAAGGACGGCTGAAGTAGTTAGGCATGAACAACACTGGTTTCAGCTTCTGACAGAATAATTTAGGAAACTTATACCCCCAGAAAAAAAAATTTCAGTCCAGTTTTTATCAGCCCAATTTTTATCAGCCCAATAGACACTATAATTTTTATTTTCTTTTATTACCGCAAAAGAAATAGGAATATATATTCTAGCAATAGCTCATTTAAGGGTCTAGATTTTTTTTGGTGAAAAATTTTCAAAAAGTGTCCTAAAAAGTCATTCAGAAGTGGGGCCAAAAAGTTCGGCAAACAGCTTCTTAAGAGTATTTTTTTAGCAGAGATCGAAAAATCCAGTTGACAAAGGAAAAGGAAAGATATTTTTCCGGCCTAGATCCGCTCCTTTTTTGCAGCCTTTTCTACAGGAGTTCTCGTTGCGCCGGTAACTTTTTTGTCTCGCCGGCAGGAAATGATTGTCAATATTTACGAATGCAACGCATTTAAACATTTTGTTCATCTTAGAAATGCTTGGAAGGATATGGAATTTAAGATTCCCTAAATCGAGTTTTCCCAAAAAATTCATTATCGTTTGATTATTCCTGAGAGTTGAACCTTTGATGTCTCGTAGAGTTAAATGAAAAAGAAAGCCCTGCTTAATAATCAAACAGAGTCCAAATTAATCAAACAGCTCAAAAAATAAGCAAAAGTATGTACGTGCTCACAACATTCACTTCATTTTTTGTACCAGTTTACTCAAAAGGGTTGAATATATAAGAATATATAGTCAGAATCTGTGAAAACAATTAGCTTGAATTTTCTCACAGACAGATGCAAATATATACTTCGTATACAAAAAAAAACAAAAATGGCCTAAGATATACCAAAAAATGAAGATGGTTTTAGGCAAACAAAGTTAACAGATTAAAATTTCAGACTTTACGGATAAAATTTAGAAAAAAAAGCAAATTTATTTGAAAAAAATAGACATTTTTTGGAACACAGTGCGCTCGCAAGCTCGCTTGGGCAAATTTTTTTTTCTACAAACACCACCATTTGCCTCGTAAGAAGCACTTTATGTTACTCTAGCATAGTAAGCAAAAAACTGATCACAAATCGTGAGGTTTTTTCTAAGTATTTGCATAATTCTTAAATAAGCTTGCTTGAATCGTCTCTCACATATCCGGTGTGAGCGTTAATCGAGGTACCCGAAGTTGCACGAAAGTAACCCCACCCTACTAACAAGTTATTTCTCACCACGAGAAAACTCGTAGCAAAAAATGTTGTCCGTCTTCGTTTGTTGTCAAGTTTAAGAAGGAATAAATTTACATAAAGCAAGAAAAAATTTAACATGACTGGAAAAGATGAAGCTTTGACTATGAAGCATTGTTTTTAATTCATCTCATCTACAGTGCTGATTTAAATTCCGCCCACCCTTCCAGAAATTCTTAGATCCACCCCTGATCTCACAAATAATTTCTTGACACTATTACAACATATATTTTCATTGACTTTGAAAAATGACGAAAAAGCAGTACTTGAATTTAAAAAAATTTAAGAAACACAAAAGAACAAACTGGAACCCTATTAGATATTAAAAAACATAACAGATGCATTAAAAAATATGCTGTTTTGTAAATTCATCAGCCGTTTTTTTTCCAATCAGCATTTGTCTCGGGATGGAATCATGAAATAATGCGAAGGTTTTCGCAAATTTAGAAATTTCAAAACGTGCTCCAGAAAGAAAAACATTATAATTTTTTCATCTACTACTTGCTGCCATTTGGGCTATTTGCACTGCAACTGAATGCTCCAGGAGCAGCAAAAATCTAACCTTAGATACTGATATCTAGTTTTTGCCGCTCAAGTAGCATTTAGTTGCAATGTAAAAAAACCTAAAATTCAAAAACACACGTTTCATTTCCATGCTCCACTTCTAGCTAATGGCTGGTCGGAAGAAGACTGCTGCTAAATTCGCAAAATTCTCTACTCTGTTTTTTTTTCGCAAAATATTTGTTACTGATCTAATAGGGCTGCATTTTGTTTGTTTTTCAAGATATCTGTTAGATATCGTATTGTAGTAACTAGTAAGTCTATCACAAAAATTTCTTTTTATCTGATATTTTAATAGATTTACAAAAAAATACAGGATGTGATCGTTTTAAATTTTTCCATAATACTTTGAAATCAAGTAAAGGTGTAATACAAACTTGGATCTGAAAAATTAGTGATTGAGTTCCCATCCGCCGTTTGAGAACTGAGTACCGTATTGGTTCATTTACACTTATAATATTTCGTATCTGCATTGCTCGAATCTGTTTTTCAGTTTCTGTTTTACTTAGAAAACCTGAGGATGGTGCGGTTTTGAAGTTTTTCATTAAAAAAAACACGGTGGTTTCGTGTACCTCGTATTCGACCAGATTGAAGGGAGCGGGCAGGGGCATGATGTGGTTGTAGAGGTCTTCGTAGATGGCTTCCTCGTCCGCCAACTCCAGCTCGTCCAATTCATCCAGGGTCCCATACACGTCCTCATGACTCATCAGGTCCTTATACCTGGAAATATCAAGTAGTGTTCTTTCCGTTAAATAATAGCGCTACGAAACTACTTTTCATTTGTTCGATTAGTTCAGGACGCTTAGAAAATTGATGCTTAAAAAGCAACTTTTTTGATTTTTGAACTTCTGCTGCTGTCAAAAAATGAATGCAGATTTTTGTAAATGTTCAAAATCAACATACATAATAAATCAAAACAGATGAAGATACTCGGTTTCGATGCATTTATTCGCGTAAACCTTGAGGAAATTTTCCGAATCAAAACGATTCAAACATCAAAGATATTTTCTATTATTGTCTCCTTTTTCCTACATTTAACGGCTTTAGCTAAAAAAAACATATGGTGCTTTTCATCAGTTTTTTGAGCAAAATACTGAAGTAAACACAAAAATATTTCCAGATCAAGAACCAACCCGACGTCTCCATAATTGGATTGCTTGTGACCCTGCAATACTGAAGCATCCCTTATCCATATTTCCGCTCCACTCCCCCCTCCCGAAACAACAACCCCGCCTTCCTCAAATTGTCCATCCTCGGTCTGAATCGACACCGACTTCTTATTCGCCACAAATCGTTTCTGACACTCGGTGCACACATTTTTCGGCGGAAAGTTTGCTTCAGTTGTCGGGTCGAGGGGTGAAAGAAGGTCGTTTTCCGAGTGTTGTTCGGAAGCACTGCTGTCATTATTGCATGCATTGAGGTGGCTGAAAATATACCTTCTGTAGATACAAACATGGCAGTTGGATAATCGACATCAAAAAGATCAGACAATCTCGCTATCTACCAACTTTAGGCCGCTAACTAATTTCGAGTTTTGTTTTTGATATCAATTTACGATGACCTGAATCAATTTTACTCTCCTAGATTTAACTCTGTTGAAAAAGTTTCCTTATCATAAAACTCCATAAATGGAGTGTGGAAAAAAGCTTGTCATACATTTTCCATACAATTTTCATAAATTGTTTTAATGACGATGATTAAAACATCATTTTCCTCAATTTGACAGCCCTGGTCATCAAAAATGTATTCTTATCATACATTTTTCACATAATACAATTGCTGATAAGCATTTTTCCTGTAAAAAACGAAACTTTGAAAAAAATATAAAAAAAAGACTTTTTAGTAATCAATTTAACATGTGTTTGTTTTTCGAGTGAGAGCTGAATTAACATTTCACGTCGAAAAAAAGCTTATCAATTATGAAAATTTCATCACAAGCATTCATCCCAAAAAAAAACGTAATCCAAAATTTAAAAAACTTTTAAATCTTGTTTCCAGTCGCAAATTTTTTTTCAAACTATTTTTCCCGATACAAAACTCTTGCAAATTTGTCAATCTTTGTCTTTAACGTAGTCCAAACTCCTTTTTTCGCCCAAAAAAATAAGAATGAACAAATGAACAATTTTTTCGAGAACTCCTTTGTGTAGATTTTACAATTTTGTTTTCAAATGATGAGATAAATTTAAATTTCTCAAAAAATGCCCATAATTTTCCGGAAAAATTTTTTCACAAAAATTGATTTCAGGATGAATATCAAAAGATTTGCTTTTCAATATAAATTTGAGTGAACTCAAAAATTTAACCTAAAAAAGTGAATATCCAAAACAGTTTTCTTAATAAATTATTCCAAACTAAATTATGGAATTTTTGTATGAGAAACATTGTGGTTACTGTGGGACAAAAAAAAACAAATAGCCAGCCTCAAAAATTTTTTACCATCGCAAAAACCCAACATCCAATGACATATAATGGAATAAATTTATCATGCCAAAATTTTACAATTCTTTTTTTTACTATACAAAAATAAAAAAATTGTCGATTTTCTTCTGGTGGACCCATTGATGATGCAATTAATCCTAGTGACTAAAAGTTTTCAAGTTTTCGACTTTCAAACAAATTCCGTCTTTTGGCTCTTTTTGAAAAATTTTCTCCTAAAAAATGTTTTTTTTTGCGCAACTTTTCTTAAGCTAAGTGTATTTTGGCGCCAAAGGCGTCATTAAAATATTTTTAGTTTGCTCGTTCAAAAAATTTTGTGACATGATACCACAGGAGAACGAGGATAGTCGATTGCTGTGCAAGTAGCACAGAATGATCTGAAAATATTAATATAATTTTTTTTTTTCAAATGAGTGTGTTTTCTGGTGAGTCTTGTGATAATAGAACTATACGAATGAATATTTTTTCATTTTTTGCGCTAAAAATTTTACAAATTTTTTAAAAATTTTTTATTTGCCAAAGATGGACTAATAAAGCTGATAAACATTTTTTTCTAAGGTTTTTATTTAAACCAAGTTAACTTTTTAGTTGGTTGATCGTTTTACTCTCAAGAAATTTGTCCAAAACGTGACTAAATTTTAAATCAGCCTTTTTCGACACTGGAAACCTTTTTGAAGAATTTTCTTATGGTGGACCACATTGATGATGCGATTAGCCCTAGTGAGCAAAATGTTCAAACTCTCAAATTTCAAAAACTGCCGTATTTCGGCTTTTTTTGAAAAATTTTCTCCTAAAAACTGTTTTCTTTATGCGCTCCCTCTTAGAATAAGAGCAATTTGGCGCCAAAGGCGTCATTAAAACATTTTTGGGTTAATCGTCTAAAAAAATTTGTGAAATGATACCATAGGAGAACAGGGATAGTCCACAAGTGACACAGAATGTTCTGACAATATTCTAAGAACTTTTTTTTTTTTTACAAATTAGTGTGTTTTCTGGTGCGTCTTGTGATGATAGAAGTATATGAACGGATATAAGTTTTTTTTTACCAAAGGTGCGCTAGATGAAGCTGATAGACTAGTTTTCTTTTTGATTAAATCAAGTTAATTTTTGGTTGCTCGATCAATTTACTCGCAAAAAAAATTTGTCTAACACGACTAAATTTTAAACCAGTTTTTCTCTTCACTGGTAACTTTTTTGATGAATGTTTTTAATTTCGTTCGAATCACGACAGAAAATGCTTCCTCATTATATATCACTGCAAGCCTTAATTTGACAAGCCTTATTAGGTAGATCGAATCACGACTGAAAAGGCTTCAAAATTATGCATCGCTGCAAGCCTTATTTTGACAATTTTTTTTTGCTCGAAATTAGACCAAAAATCAAAATTTTCAAACCGATTTTTTTGACAGAAATTTTAAAAAAAATTTTAGGTCGTTCGATTATAGACTAAAAGAGCTGTAATATTATTAATAATTTGATATATTCCGATGATTACTTGTGGTACTTAATTTTGCATAGAAAGTGGAAAACAAAAAAAAAACAAAAAACACTAAAACTCACCCGAATACAAAATTTCTCCCCATGTTCATTGGTCGAAACAAAAAGACAAAGTTGGTGGGGAGAACTCAAAATCAGAGAGAAAGCAGAAGAATCAAAAATTATTTTTGATATGTTCCATATAAGATTGGAGACTTTTCAATCACGACAGCTATTTAGTAGTTATAGTTCATCACGAAAGCTTAACAAAATAAAAACAAAATCAAAGCTAGCAGAGCTTTCAAAACCATAAAACTACGTCTGTTTTCCGAGAAAATCCCATCACTTTGCATAACACTGAATTTAACTGTTAATTAATTATTGCGCAGCTCCTCTTCATTTACCGCCTCATTTATAATGGTAGGCAAAATTTTGATTCTACCTTTTGATTCCACCTCCTGATTTAACTTTTCAATTAATCGTAACTGCACTGTAGTACAATTGTTGCAATAAAATGCCAAGTATCCCGGCCATGAAAAAATCTAGATCTACTTAACAATCTCCCCCTTTCACTAAAGGGGGGAGATAGTTAAGTAGATCCAAAAATCTCCCCAATTTTATGGCCATTTTGTCAAAAAATTTAAAACAAAAAATAGGGTAGTGTTATAGAATGAAGAAAAAAATTTAGAAAAAAAGAACAAAACCACTTTTCAGAAACTGCATTGTTCACAAAATCACTCAATGGGTTTTTAATTCTATAAATTAGTGTGAATTCATGTCTCCAAATAACTTCAACTAATTGTATTTGATCGGCAAGCCATCAATCATTCAGTTGCTTGACGGACCCAAAAACTTGCAAATCAATTAATTGACGCATTTAGTTACCCCTTAATTGACTTAATATGATTTTTCAGGAACACATCCGTGATGGTAGCTGGTTTGTAGTACAGCTGGTTTAATTACTACAGTGATGATTTAAATTATCCGGACAAAACGAACAAAACTTGAAACATCAAACGCATTTTTGTCAATTTGGGTAAAAATAAGACAAAAAAGGGAAAAACAAAAGTTGCTTAAAACTTCGCAAGAATTATCATGGTCAGGAGCGGACCCCCCCCCCCCCTCAGGGTTTCGACCCACAGCCGATTTTTTGGTCGAAGTTTCGCGATTTTTTGAACGAGATTTTTGAACGCGAAAACATGCAGTTTTTTGGTCCAAATTGTCCAAAAAGCGCTTAAAACGACTTTTTTAGCCTGTTTTTTTTTTCAAAATTTTGCCTACGGCGCACAAAATTTGGCCAAAATAGGGAAAAAAAAGTGCTTGGGGAGAGTTCGAAAAATCTCAATCAAACGTTTACCCTAAAAATGAATCGTTTTGGTTTTTTTACTTGAACAAGAATTACCTTAAAATAACTGAGTTAATTGATGAAAAATTTATATAAAAAGAATTCTCTCTCACACAGCCAAACAAAGTTCCAGAATGATAAAATTTTGGAGAATTTTGTCATTCTAGAACTTTGTTCAACGGTGTGAGAGACTTCTTTTGATATAAACTTTTCATTAATTACCTCGGTAGTTTTATCATAATTCTTGATTAACCAAAAAAAGCCAAAATGACCTATTTTTCATTGCGAATTTTCAAAAATAAATTGCACCCTTATAATACCTCTGCTGAAAGTAACTTCTGTTTTTTTAATTTTTTGTCTAATCTTGACCTAATTTGAGATAAACGCGCAGAAGTTTTCAGTGTTTTCGTTCTGTCCGGTCAATTTAAATCAGCACTGTACCATTCAAAACTATAATCCTTGTAATCGAACCTGTTCGTCTGTTGGCTGTTTGCTTGAGTGTCGCTGGGTGTGTTACTGCCCCTTCGTTTGACCTTGACCGAAATGGGTTCCTCTGCCTGCATGAAGATGTGACCTGCCCTCGCCTCGTCTAGCTTGCTCACATCTTGACCGTTGATCTTGAAGTAAAAAAGTCAGTGTTCAAAACATCAATTTAGAATAAAATCTTTTAGCTTGCACTCTCTCAAATGGTCATTTTACCTATTTTGTAAATTATAGCAAGAACTTTTTGCAAAAAATATATCAGAAATTTTAAAAAAAGATATCTGGAATTTTCTGCAGCAAGCTATTAGCGAAATATTTTGGGGGTGGGGAGTGCTAAGTAGAAGAAAATCTTGTTATAACAGTTAATACAAGCAGCAGCGGCCTTAGAGGGACTGCCCTTCTCAAAAATTCTACATCCTAACGCATATTCGACACCCAATTCGGCTCCTTTTTAAACAACTTTGCGGCATTCGTTCGAGGCTGAGCAAACCTTAAATTTTTAGCAAGTTTTTAAGAAATTTTTGGCAAATATTTGATGCGGTGCAAAAAGGTTGGCCTAAATTTGGCCTTCAAGAGTTCGGAAATGTGCAAAATCAACCTATCAAAAGGTCGAAAAAATTCGACCCTCTTGAGACAAACGTGAATCCGATCCTGAAATCAAGCTACGTTTAGGCCAATCTTTTGACTGCACGAGAACCTCGGTTTTCTTAATAATGTTATGACAAAACAGGACCAAACTGTTACCGATGCAAACTGAAATGTACAATTACCCAATCCTTATAATTTAAACCAAATAGTTTCAACAATCTGAAACTTTGAACGCCGTCGAACTAAATTTTGAGTGCCGTAGGACAAAATTTTTACCGATTTGGAAAAAATTATCGCCACTGTTGGTGACTGTGGCGAAGCCTCAAAATAACTACTCAAAAAAATGGTGGCTCATGGTTAATCTAAGTTTTTGAAAAACAAAATTATGGACCTATAGTTAATCTGGGAAAGGCTTTTTACTTTTTAGAAAATCAATAGGCTTAAGTCAAAATGAAAGAACCGATAAATTGATTTGTCGTCAAAACCGAGAGCTTAAAAAATTGTTATGCAGATAAAATACTGTCTAAAACTTTTTAAACCTATCTGACAAAAAACCGTATTGATTTTTTAATGTTTTCAGAACTTTCTTAGTTTTTATTTGGGTATGAAACTTGACTACAACATTTGTGTCATAGAAAAATGGTACTTGCCAATTTTTGTAATTCGCGCAAGGAAAAACAAAACATCTGCATATGTAATTGTTTTGACTAGACAACTCCCATTTCATAAACGCTATCGGTGGAATAAGTGGAATAAACGCTATCGCTCCACATTCAGGGATTCGACCCCTTACCGACCCAAAGGGTCCCCCTTTGTACTATTTTGAGATCCCGGGTTGACGTCCATAGAAGAAAAATGCTTATCATACAGTTTCATATATGAAATCTATGGAAAAAATGCTTGTCATACAATTATCATGTATGAAAATTATAAAATAGTCATTTCGTCATAGAAAAAACAAAATTTTCAAAAATCACAAAAAAACGTGTCCAGGTAACTTTAAATAGACTTAAATAAGTATATCTATGATAGAGGGCATATTGACAATCAAAAACATAAATTTAATTTCGGTCAGAAAAATGCTTATCATAAAAATTTCATATATGAAAATTGTATATTATGCATTTTTTCATAAACAAAAATAAAAATTTGAGGAAAAAATTTTGTAATCCCTTTTTTAGCTGCAAATTTGCATTTGTGCTAAAATATAAATTTTACGAAAAAAAAATTTGCATGCAAAATTTGACATTTTTGTAGTTATAATGTAGTCCAGGATAAGTTTCTCACCCAAAAAAACCCAAAAATTAAATGAAAATGTTTTTTTTTTGTAAACACGATTATAATCTTTTGTTTCATTTGCTAAGATAAAAATAAATTTGTAAAAAAAACAGGCCTTTTTTCTCAACCATCATAATTTTCAAGCTAAAAATTATCTAGCCATATTCAAAAAGTTACTTTTTTGGTATATATTTCCATGTGAAAATGTTAAAATTAACTTTTATGGCTAAAACCACCAAATGCAGTTTCTCTGCATGGTAACTGCCAGTTACACTCTGGGTTTTCTAATGACAAAAAATCCTTGGTTAGTGTTTCGGTTGAAACACAAAATTTCGAAACAAAAAGCTTTTGAATTTTCATTTATGGAAAAAATGCTTATCATTCAATTTCATAGTATGGACAAAATGCTTATCATACAGTTTCATATATGAAAAAAATGCTGATTTTGCTATTTTCATACATACACTTTTACTCTATGAAATTGTATGAAAGAGTATGATAAGCATTTTTTTCATATATGAAAATTGTATGACAAGCATTTTTGTCAACCCGGGATATACATTTTGGTGACGGACCCTAAAAAATTTCTAAAGGCGCCATTGGCGCCAAGATATAATAATATCAGGGGGGAGCGCGAGCCAAAAAACGCGATTTTTTTGGTCAAAATTTTCTAAAAAGGTCAACATTTTCTAAAAAGATGAAAAAAAAATGCATTTTTTCGCCTGTTTTTGGCCAAAATAGGGTCTTTTTAGTGCTTTGTGAGGGCTCGAAAAATCAATTTGATCGAATGAAAAAAGATCGAGAAAATTTTCGAAAATGTTTTGAAAATCCGCCCCACCCACTCGAGCAAATCCTAGATCCGCCCCTGTCTTAGCTGGTTCACATTTTGAACCAAGTGAACCATCTCCCTCCTAAATCTATTTAGGGAGGAGGTCGTTCACTTGGTTAAAATTATTATTTTTCAGCCAATCAGAAATGGGCATATTACATCCAAGCCTTGCGGCTTAATTTTGCAATTGTATTTTAGGGGGGAGATTGTTCACTTGGTCTGTTAAAGGGGAAATTGTTCACATGAGCCCACTTTTTTGCTGGTTTTTCGGCTTGCTTATACTTTAGCTCTTTTGGCCATATAAGGTTTATTTTACAGGCCCATGATTTTTTAACCTATTTTCCCATAATGTTCAAAATAGAAAAAGGAATGAACGCAAAATACGAGTTGTTCAAGTAGATTCAAGTAGTTTGCAATAAACCTTCTTTCAAAATGAAAAATCTCCTCAGAATTTAATGAACTTTTTTAACATCATTTAATAAAAGGCCCTATAGAAACTTTAGAAACCAGGATCATAGGAGCGGAACGCCTGAAACTCCAAGAAAAACAAACAAGTTCCAAACAACAATTTTAAAAAATTTCAAAAATTTTGACGACTTTTTTTTAGGTCGACCAAACCAAATTGATTTTCTGAGTTCTCCCAAACCACTATAAAGGCCCTTACTTGACCACCCTTTCTACGCCGCAGGCAAGTTTTTGAAAAAACAGGTAAAAAAAGCAGTTTTTGGGCACTTTTTGGAAAACTTTGACAAAGAAATCGCGTTTTTTTGGCGCGCGCTCCCCCTCAAAAAATAGTATGTATTTGCGCCAAAGGCGCCTTCAGAAATTTTTTAGGGTCCGTCACCAAATATGGATATCTCAAAATAGTACAAAGGGGGACCCTTTGGGTCGGCAGCGGGTCGAATCCCTGAGGGGGGAAGCATCCCCCCCTAAATCCGCTACTACGATTACCCCTTCGATATGAACAAACTCAACGATGAAGCAAATACGAAATTTTTTTTATGATAAGGAGTTTCTCCTTTTGTAAAAAATGAGGATAATTAAAAAAAAATCAGGCAGAGACATTTACGGCTTTTAGGTCCATCCACAAACTTCATTTGAAGTGTTATGAACGTGTTATTTTTTCCTGGTTTGCAAACTCTGGTTAGGAACAAACGTTGAACGCCGTATTTCTGGTTTCTATGCAACGCACGTACCAAGCTTGCAAATCCATCATCTGCAAATGTGTCACAATAAATGGCAAATCTAGGTTCTAAAAAGATTATTTTTAATTTTTTTGTTGGAAATTTTTCTTTGGTGCGAGATTGTTCCACCTTACTTTAAGACCAAGAATTATTTATCAACGCTTGAATTGGCGCGGTGGTAATGCAACAAAATTTTAGCTCAGCTCTGAAGTTTTTTTAAAAAAATCTATTCAGACCTTTTACATTAAACCCGAAGACATTTTTTGGGAACTTTTGAGATACAGCTTCATTGCATCCTATTTGTGAGACACGCGTTTATGATACTTGATGTTGTGTGAGCAACTACACTCAAATTTACGGTGATAAAATAGCTCAGATAAGTCATTTGATTGAAACATGACTAAATGCATATTATGCAGGGTTCGAACTAGGTTCAGTCTTTCATCTTTTGCAGGCACAATCTCTAATCTAACAAAGTTTTTGTTAGATTACAATTGATCTTAATTCGCAGCTGAAAACATGTTTAAACTCATGTTTTTGTCTTTACTTTGCTTTGTTTTAAAGAGATTCAACTTGTATTGAAAGCGATTTTCATCAATACTTTTGATACTAAATTAACATTCTGACTTCTTCAACTCTCAATCAAAACAAATACTTCGATAACAAAAATTATAAACCATGCTTTTCATTTAATTTAGAGTTGTTGTTTGACCTGAAAAAACCTGAAAGCATAAAAATAGCTCAGTGCAAATATTTGTTCCGACTTTTGATGGAAACGGAAAATTTATGCTCGATGTGGTTTTTTTTGTTCACTCAATTTTCACCGATCGAAATGATGATTTCAACAAAATTTATTAAACCCTATTAAAGATGTTGACTTCTTGAGTTCAATTACAAAAAAATATTTCACCTCCGATTGTTTTTTATTAACTTTGGGGTTTGATAATTGCCAAATTCGCCATGTTCTGGGCTAAATTATACGCGCTTTAAAGAGTTTTTTCATAATGCTGAGAGCGTAACTCGAATTATTTATGCGTGGCGAATTATCCCGCACAACAAAACTGTTCCAAATTATATTGAGCCTAGCTAATTGGTCGTATTAATTTCGTACGACTCAAAATTTTACACTTTGATAAATTTTACACTTTGTCCAAAATGTATAGGTTTTCAAAATTTTCTTTTCCCAAAACTTATTCGACATGAAGTAAGGGACAGTCGGAACATTCGGGGCTTTGCATTTGCCTGATATATGAGC